AGGTTTCGTTTGTGATCTTTTTGAGTGTCCGGCTTCGCAACGAAAGGTCCATAAACCCCGTTAAGCCATGATTTAGTGTCTTACACAATCCCGATGATTGTGCAATAGTGTTTTATCGCTTTGGTTTGTTGTTTAGCACTGTTAAGGCTAAGGAAAATCAAACACATGAATTTTTCAAATGATGTTTTCTCATTGAAATAGCGAATTGTATAATGTAAACCCTAACATACAAGGGTTAATGGAGTTGACCGGTTTGACTTGTTGACTTTGTTTGACTTTGACTTGAGCGAAATTTGACGGTTGTCACATCATCCCTCCGGACATAAAAAGACTATTTTGCCCTTAAATATATATATTTTTAATTTTCTTTTATTTATTTATTATTTTTAGATTAAAAAAAATAAAAAAATGCACCAACGGTCCCTTCATTTTCCGTAGTTTCCTTCCCCTCTTTCTCACTTACTCTCGACAACCACCTAAAATTTCCGTCAAGACCAACCACTTCTACTCATTCTCCTACTTTCTTTTCTGATCTCCAGAGAATAACAACAAAATCCGGTGACTCGGTCGCTCAACAAGTTCGATTGTCACCGACGACGGACATGAAGCCACTGATGAGGCCATCGATCTACACCTCAAGCCCTCGTTTGAGTCGTCACTGACGCCTGAAACCTGCAGCTCCTCCAGCACCACCACCATTCACCACAAATACCTTCCCCTTCCATTTCCCCGATTTTCTTCTACCTTCGTCTTCCTTTTCTCACCCATTCCCGACAACCATCCAAAATCCTAAATCGGTGAACCGAAATCGGACCCCAAACCACCATCCCATATATTCGTTCTCCCCTTCTGCCTTAAGAGCACCAACGACCATCAAAGCTACCAATTTCAATCTATCATGAGTTCATGACATCTCACTGCAATCGAAATCAGGTCTTAGACGAATCCATCGAAATAGAATCAAACCTAACCTAGCATGAAACTCAAAATCTAAATCGAAACCTGCATCAGTTTTAATTTCTGGATTTGGGAAGGACGAAAAAGGAGAGAACTGCCATTTTCATCGAGGCAGTCTCCTTCAACCTATTTCTCTCTCTCTGTATTGTGCTACATCTCCATCTTATTTGCCCTATATCTCGATATCGTATAAGAACACATGTGTGTGTGTTTTGTTACTTTGTTATCTCCGATCAATAACAACAATGTGAGGGTTTGGAAGTGAAAGGGGGTAGGCGGATTTAGGAAACTGAGAGATGGTGTTGAAGAAGAATGAGAGAGATAGAGAGAGGGAGAGGGAGAGAGAGACATCGGAGGTGGTGGTGATATTTTCCAATGTAACTGAGAGATAGAGATTAGAGAGTTTTTTTTTATTTTCTTTTTTTAAGTCATAAATAATAATGACTAATATTAGATTAATTAAAAAATAAATATACAAGGGCATTATGGTCATTTCAAATGTGGCGCGTACTACATTCGCAACAAAAACGCATATAAGGGACGAAATGTGCAAGTTTTAAGCAAACGAAGGACGTTCAGAGTTAATTTTTGAAAATAAGGACCGAACATGCTTTTTGACACCTCCATGAGGGATGATTCGTGTAATTTACCCTATGATTAACTTTGTAGGTGTTTGGAAGTGCTTTTTAAAATGACTTATTAGCTTATTGACTTTCCAAAAAGCCATGAATTCCTGGTTTTTCCAAAAAGCCAATAAGCACTTTGAGAAGCAATCCCAAACACGCCCTTAATGGTAAATCGTGAAAATAATTTTATAGTTTTATTACTAAAATTATTTTATTACCATAATTAATTTATATTTAAACTGGATAGTGAAGGGGCGTGAAAGACAAAATAGTGGTGTGAGCTCATGACCATTAATGTACGTACTATTATGCTACAGGGACAAGGCATATGCCGAAGTAAGATGACGATCACTGACTATTCTAAACAGTCTAGTGGAACCTAACAGACTTATTACCAGTAGATGTTAATAATCATACTTTTCATTAATTAAAAGTTAATTAAAGATAGTATGTTTAAATCATGTATTTTTAAATTGTTTAAAATACACCTTACATATAATTATAATAGTTTATATTAAGTATATGTAAAACTAAAAGATTATATATATATATATATATATATATATATATATATATATATCTATATGTATATATGTAATATGATTACTATATGTATAAAAATCATGCAACATGTGTCCTCACATGTTTGATTATACATTGCTAGTCGAATCAAGAGTATATCTCATTCATTAGACCATGCTATAATAGAGGTATAAGGACACGACCTACAAAATGACCGTTATGCTTGTCCTTTCACTCAGTGCCTCTTTATTTGGTTAATTGTCGTTAGCCAAAAGGGTTTGATAGGACGATCTCTCGTCAAAAGTATAACATGTAAAATACTAGAACAAAATTCTCGTCCTAGTTATATTAGTAAATGTGAATAGTTGCTAACTCATGAAAAACGCACATTATTTCTTATTGTCTATTTATGGAGCGTGTGTGGTTAATCGTCACATAAACTTGATATGTAAGAAGAAGATGATGTAACACTTGTGGTTGTGGTTTGTTGACGGAGCGTGTGTAGTTAACCGACACGTCAATTAAAGAACCACAACATACTCAAGGGGTCACACATTTTTGCATGGTTGGTTCACAATCTTATTTGTGAGACCTCAGTATCCCAAGCACAAATAGAGGACATGCAAACCCGAGATTAACATGCCATTAATAGTAGTATCCCATGCACAAATAGAGGACATGCAAATCCGAGATTAAAATGCCATTAATAGTATTAATAAATCTCAAAAGATGTATGAGATTCGTGGAGATTGAAACTGACAAAGTGCATTGCTTACCTAAATAATTTCGTGGTGTGTTGATGACACCCCTCTACACATTGCAAAGCCAAACATGGATCCCATCCTAATCCTAAATAAATAATAAATTAGGGTTGAAATTTATTTAAATGATAATAAAACAAACAAGAATGAAATTAATATTGAATGATGTCTACAATATAATCCACTAAAATTACTGCTCAAAGGATTAGTTGGAATGATGATCAATCTAATCCAAATTCGTAGTTTGAGAATAGTTTTCATTTGTGAATAGAAAAATCACGCCTAAGACAAAGCTCTTCCTAAGGTTCCTCTAACCAAGACTCGATAACCGGACTCCGAGTTCACAGCACCAACAACAGGACAATGTTACAACCGGCCTCCAACAGAACATTATGGAATAAACAGATGAGATATGCTTACCGGAAAAAACCATATTGATGTAGAAATGGTGTATGTATGGGGGAGAAAGAGAGCTCCAAAGTTTGGAGATTAAACCCTGTCGACCCCATAATGTGGAATGATGACTCTATTTATAGGGACAATGAAGGGACCATAAATGACAACGGAGAATAAAGCTTGCTATGGATTATTCCTCACATGCTTTTCTACTTGATTGGTGCTATGCTTAGCCGATGTTGTCCCGCTCATCAAACCCTATCCTACACAACCTAGTGTTGCTCTGCATGGCTAAAATCAACACCTTGGTCAATTTAGTCACTTCAGTTAGGTCATGCTAATTGATCCAACACCATTAGTTGTGTAAATAACAAGAAGTAGTGGTTAAAGGGTATTTTTGGTAAAATTTGTTTGTAGCGAGAAACTGAAAGTTTGTAGTTGGTAGCTGCTCTAAAAGCTAGAAGGCATAAATTTTATGTGCAAAAAATAGAAGTTTTCGAAAAAAGTAATTATAATCTTTTAAAATGTATAAAAGAATATAACTACCAATAGCTCTAAAAATTTCTTGAAGTACAATTTGGGTTAAAAGTTTTATTCTAAAAATAAAAGTATGACCGCAAACAAAGTTTTCAATTTAATTCCAAGCTTTTAAAAAAAAAATTAAAATCTAAAATTTTATAACAAAAAATCGAAAGCCAGGAAGGGTGAAAAGTGAAAACGGCCCGTTTTCTAGGCGGCTGACCGGAATGGTCCTACTCTGCAGTCTGCACCATGTCCAGCCCTACTGTGGAACCTTTGACCGTTACAAGATTTTCTTCTTCTGTCATTGCGGCCAAAATTCTCCCGATATCGCTCGTTCTTTCGTTTTGATGGTCGTTTCGGGGTGCCTCGGATCACTTGAATATAAAGATAGTTGCAATCGGGTCTCATCAACCAAATGATGAAGCCGTTGTAAAGGCTGGTGATTGCTGCTATTAACCGCCGCATTTTAGCAGGTCTCTCGATCAACCAAACGGTGAAGCCGTTCCAAAGGGTGGCTGCTGCTATTGACAACCACATTTCAGCAGTGAAAGGCTTCATAAACAACCATAACCGGTTTGATAATTTGGATTGAATGGGATTGGGGATAATCATCTCCAAAGCGGATTCAATGTACGGTTGCGTGAAATCCACGTACTCGTGTATTCTCGACAATTCATTGTAATAATCATATGCCAGATTCAACGGTCTCTGAAAACCTTGATCATTCTGCTCAAGTGGTATTTTGAGATCAAAGTTTTCAGGTGAAATTATTTCAAACAATTCCCCGACACTATTATATCCTTGCACGGAAAAAATTCTAGGGTCGTCGTGCTCTTCTTCTGGGTAATCGGAACGTAACTTTTGACGGAATCTTTTTTTGAAATCGAGGAAATTCGGCGTGTTTTCTGTTAAGTAGGTTTTAATTCCAACCATACCCTTCAGTGAAGAAATCATGGTCGAATTAATGGAATGAAAAAGATATGTTATTCCATTAGTTGAAATCCACAGACACCCGTCTCCTGTCATTTCCATCTTCTTGGCTGCCTTAAACAGGTGAACCTTAATAAGTTCCAGAGACGTATGAATTACAAAGACTTTCACTTCTTGTCGCTTGAGCACCTCAAGCTCTTCTTCTAACAAACACGAAGCAGATGTGAGTGGTAAGATATGGTTTAGCTCAGAACCTGTTTGTCGAAATACCTGAGAGAGATGAGAGATGATTGATGCTGTTGAGGCTAAATGTGAGCTTTCGAATATGAGAGTAACTTTGGTCTCTGTTCCAGTGGTGTTTGATGCTTTTAGAAGAAACCACAGCATTGAGAAAGCAACCAAAGTGTTGAGGTAACTTGAAAACTTATGCATCTTCATTGATATTCTTCCTTATTCTTTACATAGACTCGTATGTATCTCAAAAGTTGTTTCCTATTCCCCAAATCATATGGTCATTTCAGTATAAAATAATTTTTTTGTACTCAAGATTCCATCACACTGTTTGTTAAAAAGTTTCCCAAGAAAAAAATTTCTTGTAGCTTTCAAAGAAGTCAAGCCATCAGCAACACTTACATTGATTGCATAACATAATGCTGTAAATCATACTCACAAAAATTATATCATACTTTTATTCTCGTTTTGTGAATGTTGTTATAGTAAATATGAATAATAATGTCTTAATCCTAAGAGCTACCAATAGTTTAAACTTTAAAATGCAATGAAATTTCGGTTATTCTTAGTTTACAATGCATTTTATATATGTCAACTTGTGTCATTTTCAGAAGTCAACATGTATCTGGCGCTGACTAAATCATCCATATTCTCTTACATTAATACACATAAAGGATTGTAATTTGATTGTTTGACTATTAGAAATGAGTTATATATATATATATATATATATATATATATATATATATATATATATATATATATATATATATATATATATATATATATATTCTTCAAATTGCTCATTTCATGTTTTCTTTCTGCTGTCATTTCTTTTACGCTGATTTTCTTAGTTGCTTCTTATTGTTGCCATTTCCTCTATTTCTTTCAAGTTACATATGAATTTCCATGGAGACTGGATTTTGGTGTCATATCCCCTGTTTTATAGACAAATAAAAAGATTCTATATTCTTAAATTTGTGTAAAGTTTTAAGAAAATTGAGATTCAAGTGTAAGCAATAGGCTTTATTTTCATATATTATTTCATTTGTTAGTAGAAATATGTCACATTTGGTATGCAGTAATGTAGGTTGAAATGGAATAGTAAGAATGCATTTATATGTAATATTTTTGTTTCATGTAGATCGGTTTTTCTATTATAATCTTTTCGGTGCAATATTATTTGTTTCAAGAATTTGTCCTCTTTTATACTTCTCTTCTCATTGCAGGGATACTCGTGTATGCCACTTAGGTCAAAATAATACCGATATCAATCGAATTAGGTAAAAGAGTAAAGAGAGAGAATAGAAATTGAGCAGAAAGTGAGAAAAGGGCCACTTTACAAATGAAAAAAAAAACATCTAGCAACATGAATCCAAATCAAACTATTAAGAGCATCCACACCAAGGTCTTTCAAAGTTATTTGCAATGCCACCTTGTCCATATTGTATGCCACATAGGTGAAGCTCTTTCAATATTTGAAAGGCTTGCAAATGTATTGTCATAATATTTTATTAATAATTTATTATTTCTTTTTGATTACCTATATATATATATATATATATATATATATATAATTATATTTATGTAATAAAAAAAACTTTTATTATATTATATATTTTATTTCTTAAATTATAAATTAATATATAATATATTAAGAATTTTTTGATTAATTAAATAGTTGTAGATGTGGTAGTGGGGACCACTTTTGAAAGATAAGTGTTATTGCACTGATGTGAGTAGTCATTGCAAAGCTGATGTGACACAATTGAAAGATTAGCGGCATTGCACTTATGTGGATGACCTAATAACACCTACCCTCCACATGTTACAACAGGATCAAGGGCAGTTCGGTCAAATTGCAAAAAGTCTTCGTTAATCAAAAGAATTTTTGGAAATAGTTACTGTCCATTATTGATATTTCGCCCCTATGCGTTCGAATCACAAAATCTAATGCGATAATCCACGAGAACACGTTTTGATTCATATACAAAATAGAAAGCAAATTGTGACTATATATGCTCATACTATCTGAAAATGGATAAAATTGACTTTTTTAAGTGTGCACTCCGACTACTAAAGTTGTAGTAGATCACACTCTATCACCATGTGACACTAAATCACCGACTTTTTTATTTTTTATTTTTTTTATTTTTTTAAGTTTAATCTAATATTGTTTTCTTTATTTATAAATTAGCATGAAACAATAATTGAGTTATTGTGGTTAAGAAGTTAAAGACTTCATAAATATTTATTTATTTATCGATATTATATTTAATCTAAAAATATTTTATTAATTCATTTGGATTCCAACAACCATTTTTTTTTTGCAATTCAGTATACACAAATTCGTAAACATGGTGGAAAGAGTCAACAAGAAGAATATACCCTAAGTAGCATTATTATCATTAAAATAATATTTTCATCCAATTGAAATTTTATTATAGCTTGCTTTTTTTCAGCTCATAAAATAAATATGTTTTTTTAATCATAAAGTCAACTAAATCATTCAGTTATTTTTGTACGTAGCTTTAAGCAAATAACCTTCATTTTCTGAATACAAAAACTTGCTTTCCATTAGATTACATAAGAGTAATTCGAGGAAGGTGCAATGAAGTTGCTAGGCATACTAAATAAATAAAAATCAAAACAATATCTCCATCATACCAGATAAGTCTTATAGTTTGATTTTTTTTATTCTATTATTGGTTGACATCTTACTTATTAATACAATTGTAATTACATGAAAATTTCCCTAAACTATCCAAATGACTGGGACTTATCATCCAGTAGCATAGATAACATTTTCTAACTTGTATGATTTCGACATAAAATGTTGAACATTTCCACGACTTCTGTATTCCTTTGCAATTTGTAAATGAAAATGTAGTTAGTTGACTTCAATACACTGAAGAGATCTTTCTTATGTCATGGCTAAAACCTTGAAATCATTTGTATAGTCTTTGTTGACTTTTCTTATAATATAATACTCATATACTTTCAATAATAACTGAATAATAGTAAATCAGTTACTTAGATCACACCTTTTCCTATATATATGGTGAATGAGTACCAATAGAAAATTGGGTGGGATTGTCTTTTACTCTGTAGGCATACTCTTTCTTTTCCTATAATGAAAAACAAGCTTATGTCTATTATTGTTATTTTCACCATTTGTTTGTTTAAGATACCTTTTATTGTTAAACTCGATGCCAAATCTATAGGAAGTAACTTTAGTGATGCATTTGTTATTGGTGCAATTGTGGATATGTCAGCTCGAGTAGGCAAAGAGGCTAGAGTTGCCATGGAAATTGCCATAGATGATTTCAGAGCAAAAACGAATCAAAACTTGACACTTTACACAACAGATTCAAAAGCAAATATTGTTCAAGCAATCAAAGCAGGTAACTCAACTCATCTAATGCCATTTCTTTTTGTTCAATATGTTTCTTTTCTTTTTAGTAAAACCAACATGTTTCATGAACTCAGGGGTGTTATTCGGTTTGGTTTTCTGGTTTTCGGTTAAAACGGTTCGGTTTTATCGGTTTTTTTACATTTTAAATCTAACCATAACCAAACCAAATAAGGTTCGGTTTAATCGGTTACGGTTTATTCGGTTATGGTTTATTCGGTTCGGTTTAACAGTTAAACCGAATAAAATTCAGCACGTAAAAATAAATATTAAACTTAAAGAAAAAATGACTTACCAAAATATTACCAAACAAAGAAACTACATTAATATATAAAATATTATATTCAAGTTTTCGAAATAGGTCAATATAATTTTAATCGTACGACTAAAGATTATTTGGTTAATTTGTTTTTGCTTTTTAATACAAAATATAGAACAACTATAACTTTATAATGGTTAATAACTAAAAAAGTCATGGAAACCTTAGTAACTAATCAATAAATTTAAATATATATATATATATATATATATATATATATATATATATATATATATATATATATATATATATATATTATTCGGTTTTTCGGTTTAACCAAAACAATGAAATTTAACCAAAAACAAACCGAATAAGGTATCCTTATTCGGTTAATCAAACCAAATTAACCGAAAACCAAATAACCCGAACCAAATAAACCAAACATCATTTGGTTCGGTTTTGGTTTTTTATGACACCCCTACATGAACTTGGTTGAAATGCAGCTACCTATCTCATTGAAACACATAAAGTGGAGGCGATTTTAGGGCTACACACCATGGAAGAAGTGGTTTCAGTTGCAGAGGTATGTAGTGAAGCACAAGTTCCAACTTTCTCTCTTTTTGACTCAGTTCCTCAATGGGCACTAGATCGGTGGGCCCCCTTCCTATTTCAAGCTTCACCTTCTCAGTTTCCTCAAATGAAAGCTTTTGTTGCTATTCTTGAATCTTACGGATGGAGTCGTTTTACTTTCATATACGAAGATATCAATTCAGCATCCACTCAAATCATTCCACATCTCATGGAAGCCATTAAAGAATCTAGTACTGTAGAAATAAGCAGCATTGTAAAGCTCTCACCTTTATCCTCTTCTTTTTCATTGCCAAAAGAACTTGAAAGGATCAGTAAAGAACAATGCAGAGTGTTTCTTGTTCATTCCTCTTTGGAAACAGGCGTTCGCCTTTTCCAAAATGCAAAGAACATGGGGATGATGGAAAAGGGTTATGTGTGGATCACAACAAGTTTAATCACAGATCTTCTCCACACTGTAAATTCCTCTACTTTTTCCACGATGGAGGGCGTTTTGGGAATTGGGAGTTTCTTCTCGGAGTTTGATGATTTTAGCACAAAGTTTCAGAAAAAGTTTAAACTGGAACAACCTGAAGAAGAAAACAACATCCCTGGGGTTTTTGCAGCTCAGGCGTATGATGCTACATTGATTGTGGCCTCTTTACAATTCGTTGACCAAAAACCATTTGCATCACATATATTTCCAATCATAAATGTTATAGGAAAATACTATAGAGAAGTTGGGTTTTGGTCGGAAGGACTCGGTTTTTCTGAGGTTATTAATGAAAAAACCACTTATGACACCTCTTTAAAAAGTTTAGGCTACATTTTTTGGCCTGGGAAACCGTTGCATCCTCCAATAGGATGGGCTATTCCTACAAATGCCAATCCATTGCGAGTTGGGGTCCCAACAATGGCCATGTTTAAAAAGTTTGTGGAAGTGAAATATGATCATAAAAATCATAATCTCACTTACAAAGGCTACTCAATTGAGCTTTTCAAAGAAACCATCAAACTCTTGCCTTATTACTTGCCATATGAATTTCATCCCTTTAATGGAACCTACGATTCTCTAGTGGAGCAAGTTTATTTAAAGGTAAATCAATGACTCAATCAATCATATATTGTTCTTGTTATTGGTATTAAATTATTTCTTTATATTTGTAGAAATTCGATGTGATAGTTGGTGATGTATCGGTAGTATCGAGGCGATATAAATATGCTGAGTTCACGCATCCGTATACAGAAACAGGGCTAGTGATGATAGTACCTGTCACATCGTATCATGGACAATGGTTATTTGTGAAGCCCTTTACATTAAGCATGTGGGCTTTAACAATTTTAATCAATATATATAACGCCTTTGTGATATGGCTGATTGAGCACAAAAACACCCCTGAAATTGGAGGATCCGCTTTGAATCGCACTGGAATTCTTCTGTCTTTAGCTTTCACTAGAATGTTCTTCACCAATGGTAACTTCTTAAAACATTTCACACATGTCAAAGTTCAAACAAACAAATGATAATCTGTTATCATCAATTCATCATCATCATTCAGGTGATGAAGTTCATAGTAATTTGACCAGAATGACAACAGTGGCGTGGCTGTTGGCGGCAATAATCATCGGGCAGTGTTACACCGCTAGTCTCACCAGCATGCTCACTGTTAAACGGCTGATACCTAAAGTAGCAGATTTTGAAACCCTAAAAAATGGTAATGCAGTTGTGGGGTATGGCCAAGGGGCCCACGTTGCCAGTTATTTGGTGGATGTTCTTGGTTTCAAGAATCGAAACATAAGGCCTTTCACTTCTCCAGAAGGATACGCACGTGCCCTTAAAAACAGAGAAATATCAGCGGTTTTTCTTGAAGCTCCTTTCACTAAACTGTTTCTCGCTAAGTATTGTAAGAGCTTTATCACTGCTGGACCTACGTTTGGGGATGGAGGATTTGCATTTGTAAGATTTATATAAACTTTTCTTAATCTATCATTTGAATATCTGTTGAATTTGGGGATACCGAGTTGTATTTATGTTATATGATTTGGTTGCAGGTGCTTCCGAAAGGTTCTCCAATGGTGGCTGATTTTACTAAAGCGTTGTTGAACGTGTCTGAAAGTGGGACTCTACAAGAGATAGAGAAGAGAATGATTGGTTCTGAGAAATGTGTAGAGATGGATTCGGATCATGATGAGTATGAAAGTTTGGGTCTTGGTAGCTTTTGGTCACTTCTTGTTTTGACTAGTGGGACTTCGACTATTGCTCTTATAATCTATGTTGTTATTAGCTTGAGGGATTATTGCCGGATCGAACAGAAAAGTATAATTTCAATTTTTTCAGATGTTAAGAAATACTTTGTGATTCCAAGGAAACGAATCTCAAGGAAAGTTAGCGATTTAGAAAGTCCTAAAAATCTCAATTTGGAAATGACTTGAGTAAGTACACCAATTTTTAAGTTGTCTCAAATATTAAAAACCAGAGTACCCATCTTTGTTGTGTTTTTATTATTGATATTGAATGTATAGGTGCTTGGACATTGGTGTGGACAAACTGGAAAAAAGAAGAACAATCATTATGTTCAAATAGCACCACCATGATGGGGATGCCATTCATGCACATGATGGACATCAACAAGAACAATTCTCACCATGCTGTCATGTGACAAATGGATCACATGAGGTCAGCTATATCTACCAACCTTTTTATAAGTAAGGATATTATGACAATAGATCATACATACCCTATGATTAAATTTTTCTAATTTACTTGAAAGATAATCCCGACTTACATAATGTGATCCTCTTATGATTCTATTAGAGGTATGCAGATGGATTGGGCTTTCTGGGCTTTTATGGATTAGATTTGGATCGGGCTCTAGATGTCATTGGATCAGGATCTTGGAGCTTTGCAGAGGTTGCAAATATTTTGGTAGGACGGGTCCTCAATTTGGCTTTATCTAGGATATTTTTTTTGATAGATTTGGGCTGGTTGGACATTTTGTTAGTTTTTTTCTCATTTTGTATCTATATAATCAATTTTTTGTAAAATTTCCATTTGTCACAGCTAGTATATGCAACATCTGTGATTTGGTTTTGTTGTGTTGTTTATAAAGGTTAATTGGTTATAAATGTGGCAAGTTATATTAAGAAACAATAAGAGAAGCTTTAAGGGTTGACTGAGAAGAAGTGAAAGTTAGCTGCTATTAGTGAGTTTCACCAGCGTTGACATTGGGTCAAACTCAAGATTATGAGATTTAGTGAGATGAATGCTTTAAAGGGTAAAATGGTACAATAATGTAAGTAATTAATGAACGGTTGGTGGTTGTGCGGTCATCATTTCCTAATTATCATGAATCTTTACACCATACTTTTCTTACACTTAACACATTCCTCCAGAGTTTCATTTAAGGAGAGAAAGGAAAAGAATTGCTCCCGAGTAGGAAGAAGAGAGAAAGGAAAGGAAGATTTATACTAATCTTCCTTATAAATTCTCTTCCCAAATCGGGAGGAAATGGAGAGAAAGGAAAGGAAGATCATCCCCTTTCTTTTCTTTTCTCTCGTTTTCTTTTCTTTTCTTTCCTTTGGTGAACTTGGGAGCGGAGTTAAGAGCTCTCGATGAAGATGAGTTGTTGAAGACTTGAACTGATTCACACATAATATGTTCTGAATATCAACCTGTGTTTTAAAAAGCGTGCCTACAACGCTAGGAGACAAGAGAAACTCTTCCAGCCTCCAAGGCGATGTGGAGGCATCGATTTTTTCTGTGAATCAACGTTTTTTTGAGGCGCTAAGGCCTCACCTTTAGGGATTCATGTACCAGTTGGGCTTTGTGCTCAATTCTACCAAAGACCTATTCATTATTTTATTGCTTTTTAATTGTAATCATATTTATGTGTTGTTTATCAGTTCACGCTTCACATGCATCAATGTCGACTTTGCATTTCTTCTTCTGGGTATTCCAAGAGTTCTTGACAATCACCATAAATCCATATATTTTCTTCCCTCCTCTATTAATCCATGCAATTTTATTCTCTCGTTCTCTATTTTCTTATGTTTCCATTCTTCTGAATTCTTTTCTTTTTCTTCCCTTCTTCCCATTCCACTGATATTATGGACACCAACAATGTTATTGCTGGCACTGATGATGCAATGAATCCGTGCAGGAGATATGGTATACCTGACCCAACAAATAGGCACAAATTTAATTGCAAATTTTGTGCAAAGGCAACTTCTAGAGGAGTATATAGAATAAAACAACATTTAGTCGATGGTTTCAAAAATTGTAAATAATTCCCTTTGTCCGGAGCATGTGTAGGAAGAAGTAAAAAAACTACATGACCCAACAAGAAGTGGAAAAAAGTGCAAGAACTACCGACCCTTCGAATGTAGTGGAACTTGATGATGAAGATGATGATGGCATGGGACAAGGAAGTAGCAAGCCCCTACCTAAAAAACCAAGACAAAAGGGCCCTCTAAACAAGTTTTATGCCAATAAACCAAATAACATACTCAAAGGTAGGAATGGTGGAAAATAACAAACAATAAACGAAGCGTGTCGGAAAGACCTTAGGGACCAGGCTTGAAGGATATAGCTTGTTGGTTTTATGATGCAGGGCTACATTTTAACGTAACGTCTTACAATAGCTTTCACATTGCAATGAAATCTATTGCACTATTTGGCCAGAGATTCAAATTCAAACCACCAAGCATGCATGAGCTTAGAGTTCATCTGCTTAAAATGAAGTGGAATCCACCCAAAATATGTTGAAAGAATACAAGAAAGAATGGGCAGTAAAAGGTTGTTCGATTCTATCAGACGGATGGCATGATTCAATTGTTCAGAAAGATATTGTGAAATTTTTAGTGAATTCTCCTAAAGGTTCAGTCTTTTTTAAAGTCCTTGGATGTCTTGGAAATCAAAAAAGACGCAAACACATTTTTTAAAATGCTTGAATATGATGGAAGAGATAGAGAGGAGAATGTAGTGCAAGTGGTGACAAACAATGCATCAAATTATGTTAAGGCGGTAAGTCTTAGTAAGACTCTTTTTCCTGTTAGTTACTCTTACCTGTTAGTAAGACTCTTTTACCTGTTAGTTATCTGTTTTGAGTACACCTGTCTTACTCTTACATAGTTACCTGTTTGTCAATATCTTTACTATTTCTCTCAAAACTCTTTTAGGAACAACGTTAGAGGCAACAAGACTACATTTATACTGGACTCCTTGTGCTGCACACTCTATCGATTTGATGTTGGAAGATATTGGAATGCAAAATACTTTGAAGGGAGCAATCATCAGATTTGCAAATCAGAGATACCTACATAGGCCTGCAATCATCAGATTTGCAACATCATTCATTACTCTCTCCCACTTAGGCCCAGAAGTGATGCTACTTGTATTTAAACAAAAAGTTAATAACAATATACAATTCAGATTTATAACAAACTAAAACATGGAAAATGAGAAAAAAACAGGGAAAAAAAATCAAAAACCCTGATGATTTTCACAAAAAACTTTGATAATCAAGATATATGGGTTTTTGTATAAACCATCGTTAGTTGCCTCCACGCCTCTCTGAATCTCCGGCCGCCACCAACTCGCCACTACATTCCGCCGATGCTTGCCTCTTCACCAAGATCTACCAAGTTTTTTGTCCATCTTGATTTTTGCTCTCTCCATTGTTCCTCGTCCACCGGCTTCCAGACAATAATTTTATTCTTGATAATTAGGTAGGTCGTCTTCCTCTTAAAATTCCGGTGGTTGATTTTAAGTTCTAAGTGAGAAAAGTAAAAGTCCTCTTAGGTATGTAAATTACAAAGTAGAATAGAAAGATGAAAGAGAGCAGATAGTCATAAATAATCTGACAACTAGGCATAGCTATCTATTTTACTGTTCATATGACTAATTGGGTTTAGTACTTTTCGATTCATAAATAAAAAAAATTTTGATACTTGAGGAATATTGTTATTGTTTCAATGGTTATGTAGAGTTTGTAATCTTTGGTTATTAATTCATTAGTTAAGCAATGATGTATGTATTGATTGCTCTAAAAATATGAAACCTTATCGCAAACAATGTAAAATAAAAAGTTTGATCTTAGCTATTAAAGTTAATTTTATATTTAAATGAGATGGCAAATATAAGATTGGGGAACAACTAGACTTGTATCAAGATAAGATTGGGGAACAACTAGACTTGTATCAAAATGCCCAAGTTCTTTTTGGAAGAGACAAAAGAGCTCCATGTAATAAAACACACACACATACATATATATATATATATATATATATATATATATATATATATATATATATATATATATATATATATATATATATATATATATATAATTCCTCAAAGGTTGGTACCTGTTAACGTATCCCACTAGGAATACATTAAAGATAACATAATTGTTATCTTTAGGACGACCTAGGTAACAGTTGCGAATCCATCCTAGCGCCAAACCCGGGCCCTCTCCCTCGCGCTAGGACCCTCATGGTTGGCGTCCTTGCCCCCAAGTCCAATTCCCGACGACGATTTCCGATCTATAATAAGACAAAACATAGTTGATCGTCTCTTAGAGCGACACGTGTAGCGCCCATGGCGTTGTCCTTTGTTTATTCTACACCAATAGCAGATGACCACTGGTGGTGCACGATCATGTAACATACTGATGATGAGGTCTTTGGTCCAAATGCCAGGCGTTTGGCATAGAACGCTCGGCGTTCAAACGCTAGGCGTTCTATGATGGACGCCAGACGTTTGCATGCAGAGACCAAACCCTAATTTTTAGGGTTTGCACCCTATTTAAAGAACATTATGAACTCAAAACCCTTCACCACTTCGGCCTTCATCCTCATTTCGAAAACCCTAAGTGTGTATGAGAGTTTAAAGCCTTGGTTCATCTTTTTGGTATCATTCAATGTTCTTAATAAGAAAAGGAAGATCATTGGAGTGTTGGTGTTGCTCTCAAGCTTGTGGATCTGGACTCTTTGCATCTTGGAGCATCATTTTATGGTATAAAGTTCTGAACTTGATCATCATATCTCTAGATCTTGCTTATGTTAGAAGTTTATGCTTATTAGCCCCATTTTCTTGGTTTTTTTTTGGGTAGGAGCTACCTTAGACCAAAGGAGTTGTCCTTTTGGACGTTTTAGGGTAGATTAAGTGATAAAAGTGTGAACTTGGACCTTCCTTCCACTCCATGCAAGTTTTGAGGTGTCTTAATGGGTTAAGGAGTTGGAGTTTTAGCTTTTGGGCTCATTGTAACCATGCATGGCCATAAAGTTTGCAACTTTATGGCTTTAGACGTTCCATTATGATTGGATCTGAAGTTTGGACATGAGATCTCAAACCATTAAGACATTAGTTAAGAAATTAGTAGACAACGAGCAAACGCTAGGCGTTTTCATGGGAACGTTGGGCGTTCGGACGCCAGGTGTCATAGACGGAACGCAAGGCGTTCTCTCAGAAGCCCAATGGATCGATTTTTGGGCCTTGGGCCATTAAGGGTTTTAGTTTTAGTTTAGTTGGGCTTGTATAGAAAGGGCTAAATGGTCTTTTACCCTTATCATGATGAAGGATGGTCTGGACCATGGTTATGGGTTAAACCCTAGTTATTGATTGGGATTGTTTCTGGATTTTGTTTAGTGTAAGAGTAGTGTTCGCAGCAGATCGAGTGTTGTTTCAGTTATTCATCAGTAGAGGTGAGTTTTTCCTCACTGTACAGTGGGTCAAAGGCACCAATGCCGCCCCACTAGTTTATGTATCCTGGTTATAGGATAATGATATATTGGTATTTGGTTGAGTAGTAGATCTGCATGATTATCTGTATTTGCTGATTCTGTGTTTAAGTTATATGTTCATATGTCGACATATTGTATCGAGTTGAGATTGTACTGCTTTGTGATGTGGCCAACAAACCCGGGAGCATTCTAGATATGAGCTGAGGGCCGTTGGCATGCCAGACTCATACTGTGGGCTCGGAAGC